CAAAAGCGATCTCTGCATTTGCATTTCATTTTAGTTAACCAAAAACGAAACAAAGAAAATGTCAGCTTCAAATTAACATTCACTTGGCCATCCGAAAGAGTTGAGGCCCCGAGAGGATTCTTAATTCGTTGTTGTTTTCGTTGCTGCTATCTGTTGGGTTAGGCGAATCCCATTAGCTATCCGAAACTGAAATTAAAACTGAGACTAAGGCTGTGGTGGAGGTGGAGGTCGAGGTAGAGGCGGAGGTAGAGGCGACGGTAGAGGCGGAGGTAGAGGCTGCGACTGTTGCTGGCTAAATATCCAAACAATATTTTGCATATTCCATCGATTGTCGACTACAAACTAAGTTTGTGCATAATCAATGCGAGAGCGAGACAGGCAATGCCAGTCCGCATTAGAAAGAGAGAGAGAGGGAGAGAAGGAGAGCTCGCTTGGGATGACTGCGAGTTTTCTTTTCTGGGTGTGGCTGCAGGCGCGGAGGAAACGTGTCGCCAAAGAGTCTAATTTATTATCGATTTGCTATCTCGTGGGCCATGCGCCTTCATTATGTTCCATGAGCTCTGATGACGACGGCTCCACAGCCACTGCCACCCACTCCTGTCTGCGGCCCGTTCTGGTGGTTTTCTAGCGAAATCTAAGCGCAGCGGCCGTCGCATAAATCTCGCTAATTTATGTCGGATGCGCGCGAACTGCTAACAAAGAACTAAGTCGCGAGTCGCCGAGGCCTCCATTCGACTCCTGCTTCTCCTTTGGCTGCCATCCAAATAACTGTTGTGCATATCAAATTCACAACATGCAAATGCGAATGCGAATGCGAATGCGAATGGGAGTGCGAGTGCAGGTTGAAGTTGCTCACACAAAAATCGTTGTTGTCGCTCAGCAATTGCAGTTGGAGTCGTTGTCGTTGTTGTCGTTGTCGTTGTCGTTGTCGCTGTCATTGTGACATCTCTCGATTTATTTAATTGTCACTTAAACTAACGATTTTCTAACCAAGTTCGTGTTTCGCTGCCAATTTATGGGACATTAGCCAGCCATATGCCACGCCAAGCCATGCCATGCCATGCCAGAGTGGAGTGAAGTGGAGTGCATTGGCATATTAATATTGTTAAATGGAAATATTGCCAATATCTACTTTAGCTTTAATTGCTCTGCACTTAATTAGTTTCGATTGCTCGATTGCCCAACGCCCGTTCGCCTCAAGAAAACTCAGCAGGGCGAGTATTTTTGGTCTACTCAAGTAACATCGAACCCGTTCGTTGCCAGCATTATTATAATATTGTATCAGACATTTCCTTTGTACTTGGCTCACGAATTTAAAGGAGTATATTGGGCTAGTGCAATTTTCTTATTATATCTTTAAGTCCGTCGGTCCATAAACTCTTTGCGTGGACTTATGTGATTCGATAGAGACTTGAGCTGATTTATATATTTAATTATTTAATAATACTCTATTCAGTACTATTGTATGTTATTATGGATAGGTAGATCGATAGAGACTTGGACTGATTTATAAATAATTTTAATAATATGAATTTATAATTTAATTTTATTATTTTAAACACTATTGTATATTGAGTATTATTAACTTTAATTATAAATATATGCATCTATAGAGACTTGGTCTGATTTACATATAATTATTTTGTATTTCTCTCCTATTCTATTCTATTCTCTTCTATTATTAGTTTGTATTGTTTAATATTATTTGCATCTTAAAAACAACTTTAGTTTCTTCTTCAGATCTTGGAAAGGAAGTCTCGATGTTTACATATAAAAAACTCCCATAATCCATACTCAATATCAACTTTATCTTTATAGATCTGCTCGTTTGTAAAATATGTTTAATTTACATGTTGATTCGGAGTTCTATCATTAATAGAGTGTGATTCCCCTCTCAGATAAAGGAAATAAATATTTTATACACAAAAATCATGGTTTTATATTTCGTTCTACTTGCTTAAGAAGTAAAACGAGAATATTGGTTATATATATAGCACGCCCATTCTGTATTTTCTTCTGCCCTTCTGTTTGCATGCAAAACATTTTGTTATTGATACAAAACAAGTGGATCTTAAAAAATATACGAATTATACACTCGCCTGATAAAGTTTTTTTTTTTTTTTTTTTTTTTTTTTTGTAAATGGTTTTTTTCTTTTTTTTTTTTTTTTTTTTTTTTTTATTAAGCTTATATAAATTATTCTCACAGTTTCTTCATATCCTTCAATCTTTACCATTTTTCAGACTGATATCTCCAATGCAAATTCAAGTAATGCCTATTACTAGGTTGAAATTGGAGTTGAAATTCAGCATAAATCTGTGTTGCCCTTTGTTGCATCGATAATTTTTTTCTGTTTGATGCTTTTGCATTCCTTTTCTCGTGTACGCTAATGGCGTTTTAATTTCTAAGTATTATCATTTTATTAGATCCCAAGTGAATGATGCCTTGCTATTACCTAATTCTTTTACGTCTACAACGGGTTTTCTTCAAAGTGTTAATGCAGTCCATTTTGATTCGATTCTTGATTCAATTTAGATTAAAATCGAAGATATTTTGATTTGAATGTTAATTTCAATATTAATTTATTTCCAACAGAGAAAACACGTTACAGTTCTTTCTATACGTTAAATATTGCTCATGTCATGGGAACCCATTCATACTTTGTTATATACAGAAATGGAATGAAAAATCATATCGAAAGCACCACAGCTGAATAAACTGAATTTCTTTTATCTGTGTTCGGTATTTAAATATATATATTTAAAATTATCGATTTATGGTTAATTTTGACTATATTTGAGTGTGAGTCATTAAAAGGGAATGAATACATTTTTAAGCAGCAATGGATTCCAATAAGAGGATGTTTGCAGCTCTAGCCGAAACAATTTCAGATGAGCTGGAACATATATGGTATACCTAATGTAAGCCAATCGAGTCTTGCTCCATAATAAGCGATTATTTTATAATTATGGGACTTCATAGGCATCGAGCGAGTGCAAAAGCCGTTGATTGCACATTATTAAATTTTAATGGATTCTTCTTTATTATAATAATTTATTATACATTTTTACTTAGTATTTGTTCATTTTGTTTCGCCTTTACAGAGCTTTTGCCTTTTGCTCTCCGTGGCTGGGTGCTGGGAGAGGAAGGTGAGGGGAAAAGCTGATAATGCAGAGAGCACGAGCTGATCGCAAGGTGTCCCCTAGCGACTGTCAGACGGACATCAGACGGGGGAGAATCAAATTGAAATGAATTGAATTAATAAAGTCATTAAATCTGTATTTAAGTGACAGTAAAAATCATTAGCTGGCGATAAGCGGCTACTGCGAATGCCTGATAATTAGCACCGACTCGGGTCGGACTCGAACTCGGAATCGGACTCGGACTCGGAGATGATAACTATATTTACGATTGCGCCCAGCAATTACAAATTTACAATTGCTGTTTCATTCGAATATTACCCAAAATGGCAGTCGAATATTTCAAGACACTTGCCTCCTGCCAGCAGGGGTACTCAATAATCGGGAAAATAATATTTTCGCAGATGCTGCGCTCTGTCGGCTGGACAGTGGGGAAAGGTGCATCGGCGCATTTAAGTGCTCTCAAACATATTATTGATCTCTTGTTGCATAATAAAAACACCTTATTATGAGGGCATTAAGTGCATCGTATTAATTGCCCTGCCCTGCCCGGCCAGCATCCCTGCCCGCATTCCGCAGCAGATTTAAAACTGGAATAACGTCTCTGTCAGCGACGTCAGCCATGCCACTTGGACTCGGATTCGGATTCGGATTCGGATTGGCATCGGCTCAGCCAATGACGCGCCTCAGCTGCCGGATAAGGCTGCAGGAGAGGGAGAGGGAGAGGGAGAGGGAGAGCGGCCGGGCCGACATTGTGTCACATTTATTCGCCAATTTACGGTCACTAATAGCAATAATGAATGCATTTTATCGGCCCATTCATAATGTGCTGAGACAATCGAAACACGGCGAGAATTACACAAATCGGGTAATTTCTGTGCGGCATCGAGTCAAGCAAAAACAAAAAACAAACTGAAAAACAAAAGCTCAGAGCGTTGCACTCGACCGTAGCCGACTGTGCAATACTCGTTAGCTGCCCACCCAATTATATTACACAAATTTATAGAGAGTCGAGCTGCAAATCCGATCTTGGCTCAAGGGATGTGACAAGATCTTACCAAACTCCAATTGGATAACTACGAGTATATAAATGTAGTTTATATGTTCTAGGGGACTCATGAGTAGGCATACAAAGCTAGTGGCCAGATATTCCCCTTTTGCTGCACGCACGAGCATCAGAACGAAATAAAACCTTCACTTTGAATCGCCTAAATGGACTGTAGCCCCCAGGCTAAAATGGAGCCGCGTCGACCATCTTTGCCGTTGATTACTTAAATGAAATTAGAAATGGTTGCAGCTGCCAAGTGAGCTCATGAAATTGAGAAACTGAGCACGCGGAGCGACTTATGAAAAGCTGGAGCCGAGATGAAATTTGAATAATACTTTTAATGCCTCTTCAAAATCATATTGATCACTCTAAGACGACGAAACTGAACCGCAGACTATAAGAGCGAGAGGGAGAGAGAGAGAGGGAGAGAGACAGAGCAGACCCGACGGAACGTTCGGTCCATTGCTTGTTTTACGGCCATGTTAATGGGGGCTTTAAAGCGGGATATTATTCGAGGATAAGCAAGAGCCCCAAGTCGCATAATTATGATCGATTCATGCGCAAAATGCCGTCGGACGGGATTAAATCATTATCGAATTATGTTTTACTCGCGTTTTTATTGGAGTAGACAAAGGGGTTTATGGGCTTTGGTAACTTGACTTTACACGGCCGTAAACAATGTTCATTTGAAATGCATCAAGGCTTTTATTTCCATCTTTTTGTCAGCAATCGCCCACAGATTTAATGCTAATATTTATGCTAATAAAAGTGTATGCATATATCTTTTATATAGTTAATAAATTTGTGTACCAACCCTGCGTGCTGTGAAGTGTATTTTTATAGTTATAATCCACAAGTTTCATGGGCTTGATCTGCAAACATTATAAAGCACAACACCAAGAAAAATAAAATTATAAATTGATTTAAAAATAGTTTTTCAAATGAAAAGCTGAAACGAGAAGAATGTTTACACTTTAATTAGTCATAGATGAAAGTAAATAAAATTGTTTAGTGCAATAATGCAATGTAAATAATGAGTTTTGTGTACTACAATATACTACACGATTAATAATAAATACTTTGTAAATTTACAATATCGAGGCAAAAGAAAAATCAATTTTTATTCCAAGTACCAATTTGTTTATGGAAGCTCAAGTCGGGAGAACGAGTGAGAGCCTCTGGAATTCATCTCTGGCCACTTGCCATTCTTTCACTCAAAAGTTTTCGCTCAGGCTTCGCGCATACACAGACAGGAACACAGACACAGCCAGAGGCAGCGGATTCTCTAGAGTCGCAGACGTCGAATTCCATTGCTCAGAGTCTTGCTCAGTCGTACGTACGCTTCGAAGTTGCGGCAAGTCTCCAAAGACTGGGCCGCTGACCAGCTGCAGTGGCGAGCGCAGTTGCGGTCGACGGCGACGCTGGCGCTGCCGCTGCCGTCGCGAGGGCGATGGTTGCGTCTTTGTTGTTGTTGCCRTTGACTATAGCGGGCCTGCTCCCACCAAAATGGCCGCAGCAGTCGCATCTGTCTCCCTCGCACTCACGCGACGTCGCATCGCGCCGGCTCGCTCGCCTCGCCCGGCTATGGATTTTCAGTGCGGTACGACTAGCTGAGCAACGGCATTTGCTGCCGCACTGCCGTTGGCGCAACAGGGTGCACTATAGTTCTGCTGCTGCTGCTGCTGCTGCCACGCCCACGCTAGACGCTGGCCGACCCACCGGCTGGCTCCAGCTTGTGCAGTCGAGAATCGCGAAGCCGTGGGCCGCGTGCCGCATGCCGCAAGCCGCGAGCCGCTTGCGTCGCTTATCGCCCTTCATTGTTGTTTTTGCTAGCCATTGTTGTTGCTGTAATTGTTGTTGCTGTTGTTTCGCTGAATCTGTTATCAATTCAGCTGCGCACTGAGTCTGTGCTGCTGCTGCTGCTGCTGGGCACTTAACTCGACGCTTGGTAATTTCCAGTTGATTGGGTGCAGTTCTCGAGATTTTCGATATCATGTGCGAGCGAAATTTGCATCTTGACAGTGCCACAAAACGCAGGACGCATCTGACGCCAGGCGGGAGGCGCGAGGCGGGACGCAGGACACTCATTGTATGCACACATAACGGATAACGGCCAACTGGCAGCAGACAGAAACAGATGCTACTTCAGCTTCCATCAACTTGGCCCGATCCCCACTGCCATCTCGCCATCCAGTGCAAATCGTGTTCATTTCTCTGTGGCAAAAGTGAAAATGCAGTTCCGCATAATTTGATGCCGTTGGGGTGTGCACTTCTTCTTCTTCATCTCCTAGTGCTGCTTCTGCGGCTAATGTCTAATCCTTGCAGTCCTGCTGACTGGTGCCTGGTGCCTGGCGGTTCCGGCTCTTCTCTTGCCAGCAATTTCTCCTCTCTCTTGTCGCTCTGAGAGCTCTACTCATTCGTTGTCCTTTGTTTAAATTGCAGTTTTTTATGGCACTGCAATTAGGGGTTAGCCCTGCGAAGTATGCACACTCACACACACGTACACATGCGAGTAGGTAACATTTACTTACACAGTTGCAGTTGCAAGCTGTAAGGGTGGTCCGCACATTTACTTCGGGGTAGTTTATTATTATTATCTCTGCAATACAATTATCTCGAGGATATTATTGAAATGCATGTTCCCCTGCACACATCTATCTATGTATGTAGTTTAAAACAAAATCTTAAAGGAGTTTTTCATTTATTTTTGCTCTTCTATGTACTAAATTCTTAGAAGATACTTTGAAATGAGCATTATTAATAATATAACATATTGTTTAGTAAATAAGATTATAATTATATCTAATATTAATGATCTATCAATGATATACATATGTCTATAAGATATAGTAATCCTTCTTGTCAACCCAATAACAATTTTACAAGCGCCTTATTTTTTAGTATTTTTCTTATTACTATTATTATTATTACTATTATTATTAGTGCTAGAGTCAAGAAGCTCCTCTATTTGGGCACTATTTTCTAGAAATTTAATAAGAGGCTATTGCAAAATTTTATTATTTACAAACGATTTATGAAATTAGAAAGCCTATAATAAAATACCCAATTCTTTTAGCCCGGGCCCGGGCCAACGGTAAATAATTTCACGTTCTGACCGGTTCCCAGGCCGTGGCTGGGTCGGGCTGTTGGTTGGCTGGTTTGTTGGGTGCCTCTGTCCGGGTTTGGGTCTGGGTCTGGGTCTGGGTCTGGGTCCGGGTCAGAATGCTGCTGCGGATGAGCGTTGGGCGTTGCNATAGCAATCCTTCTTGTCAACCCAATAACAATTTTACAAGCGCCTTATTTTTTAGTATTTTTCTTATTACTATTATTATTATTACTATTATTATTAGTGCTAGAGTCAAGAAGCTCCTCTATTTGGGCACTATTTTCTAGAAATTTAATAAGAGGCTATTGCAAAATTTTATTATTTACAAACGATTTATGAAATTAGAAAGCCTATAATAAAATACCCAATTCTTTTAGCCCGGGCCCGGGCCAACGGTAAATAATTTCACGTTCTGACCGGTTCCCAGGCCGTGGCTGGGTCGGGCTGTTGGTTGGCTGGTTTGTTGGGTGCCTCTGTCCGGGTTTGGGTCTGGGTCTGGGTCTGGGTCTGGGTCCGGGTCAGAATGCTGCTGCGGATGAGCGTTGGGCGTTGCTCCATTGTGAAAGTATTTGCGCATTGTACAGAAAAGTCGTAAAAATTTGTGCTGTCTACGTACAAAGTGAATGGGAAAACTGGATTCTGTGGAAGAGGCTCCATTGGGGAGAGGATGAGTGCCAGGCAAATGCCAGCAAACAATTCTTGTAAATTTTACGAGCACAAATATAATTCAAATGGTCATTAATTGCAACAACTACAACAACAGAAGTCTGTATACATGTGTGCGTGTGTGTGGGAGAGGCCGAGGCATAAGGCAATAAGAGAAACGAAAATCTAAATGGGTCGCAGACGGCCTGAAAGTGCTCCATAAATGAATTGAAGACGCGCCGGCGATTGGCAACAACAACAACAATAAGAAGAACCAGAACAAAATCAACAGTGTCCGCGATGGGGGCAAGGTTATGTTATGTACTAGAGCAGAGCAAAAGCAAAAGCAAAAGGCAAACGAAAACGCAAAGCTGAAAGCTCCACTGCGAAAAAGCACAAAGCCAACGGACCAGCGGGCCAACAACAATAACAACAAAGTCTATGCAATAACAATGCGAGCAAGCACGTGGCCGGGAAATTTCTCAGCAGTTGCCGGCACACAGCAAGGGAAATTTCCCAATTTCGAATTTGCAATGCACGCAAAGTACCAGTTAGAGTAAACGGTTGTTAGTCGTCTAACTGTCATGCAGTTGACTCGAAAAGTACCAAACGTGGGACATTTGCCGAGGCGCTGCGCGCATGGATAGCATAGATACTCGCACACACGCATACACAAACACACGCAGCACGCTCACTACAAACACACATACACACACACATGAGGCGAGGCGGTCTACTACTAGGCACACAGATACACACAGATACTCCGTGCGGCCGTGGGGTAATATCTGTGAGATACGCACAGATACAGAAACGGGCGAAACCTCGGAGTTCGCGTGCGCGTCGCAGCCGGCGATGTCGACGTCGACGTCGTTGGCCGAGGCCGAGACAGAGGCCGTGGCAGAGCCAGAGGCAGAGGCAGAGGCAGAGCGACCAAGCGGCGCACAAGAAATCGTCGGGCGACGGCTTCAAATGAACGCAAAACGTTGAAAAGCAAACATCCGCCAAAAAAATAAACGTCCCAAAATTGCGGCAGCCAAGCATCAACTTCAAGTACTTTCCACTCACAGCTTGCTATATACATACCTACCTACATATATCTATCAATTTAATTGCTATAATGTTTTTCATAAGTAATATGTGTGCATCGAGAATCGAGTTCCCGTTCTGAAACATGTGCTATCTGTGCTGAGTTATTGTGAACTATTGAGTTATTGAGTTGAGAGGTTTGTGCTTTTGTTTACCGTTAAAGGCGTCGCGCAAAAACGAGTTTGCATTGCCAGCTGCAGCGGGAGTGAGAGTGTAAGAGAGCGAATGTGAATGTGTGTATGAGTGTGTATATATACGTATGTGTGTGAGCTTAAATAAGGCAGACATAAGTTACTGGTTCTATGGCGTGGCTTAATATTGCAGCTAATGAGAGTTTTGCTTATCATATATCCGCATTATTATCGATTGTAAATTGTGAATTCTGATTTTTGCACTTTTTCTCTTGCAGATCGAAGCACTTCAAGCGCCGCCCGTAATCATCGCATTGTCAGCTCGTCAGGTGAACGTCGCATGTCAAGGCCCTTTAAAAAATGGAAGCTCTGTTAAAGCACTGCCCCAAAAAAGTTGCGTGCGCTGCGTTGGTGTGTGTGTGAGTGTGTATGCGGGGTCTCGTTTGTCTGTCTGCGTGCCATTGACATTGACTTATGGCTCTCGCTGGGCTGGAGCGGGAGCGGGAGTGGGAGCGGGAGCGGGAAAGCCGGACAGCTGACGACTGGAGACTGACGGCAGACGATGGATGAGGGAAGCGGGACGACGGAGGAAGTACTGGGGTTTCATGTCGACCCTTTGACGAAAACTGTGGTTGAATTTTTTGCTTTATGCTTCGTTTAGTTTCTTGTTTTTCGGTTTCGCTTTCGCCTTCGCATTCGCATTCGCATTCTGGCTGGCTACGCACGTTTATGGTTTGTTTTGCTTCTGTCCGTCAGTTTGCAGCGACGACGTCACGCACACACATATACAAACAGCAAAGCTTCCAAAGTGCCTACGTGTAGCACACAAGAGCGAGGGAGAGCGAGAGAGAGTGCGAGATGGCAAAGACGAAGAAGAGAGAAGCAGAAAGAGAGATAAAAACATAGAGATGTTGATGCCATTTGTTTTCTATGGTAGCTAAGCGCTTTAGGCATTGCGA